TGCATTGATATAGAAATACTCCATATATTTTTGGATCATTCTCTTCTGAAACCTGGATGTATCATAATCAAATTCAGCTCAGTTGTTCCCACGTTTGACTTTGAGGAAGGCTTGGAAAAATATCTGCTCTTTGTAATAAGTTTAACATAGCAGACTAATCATTTCATTAATGGTTTCCTTCTCGGGATTACACTTTCAAAGCCATGTGTGATCGTTTAATTGCATGCCTCCTTATTAATATTAAACACAATTAAAGTCTCACTGTGACACTTTGAAAATGTGCCCCTCGCAGTAAATGCAGCCTTCACACAGAGTACATGAATATCCCAACCACTTCAGTATTTCTGCTTTCCGAGTCCCTCAGCACGGATTATCAGTGCTGTTATTTTACCTGTGCCACATCTGAAATGTGGAGTGACACAGTGCTTGCAGTTGTTTTACTTGGCTGTGTCTGGCTTCTTCAGCCAAGCGCTCTGGGGTGGGGATTTTACTTTGTGATTAAATAATAACGCAAAGGCTTCCTTCTTTGATTATTTTTTATACATAGCATTAATACCATGAGTGTGATGCAGCAGGGACAGCAGGGGACGAACAGAGATCTCTGTTATTTATTGTTTGTGTACTCAGTCCCTGTGGAATGAAGAGGAAAGCTCCCATAATATGCTATCAGGGAATGTGTCTGCCGGGAGCTACGTGACATCTGATTTAATAAGAAGCAGATTACAAAATGGCCTTCGTGGCCAGTGTTTCAGCCTGCCTGAAAACACAGCTGGTTTGGGATGTTGGAAAGGCCCTTTTGCCCAAAACAGGCTTTTCTGTGGGGCTGGTGGCAAAGAAAACCATTTGTACCAGCCAGGCTTTTAGTGCTGCCGGTGTCAGAGTGGGCCAAGCTCTGGCCTTCAGGGTCCTCCTGCAGCCCCCTGATGCTGGTGCGGGCAGCCTGGGCCCCTGTAAGGGTAGGAGCCCCAAACTAACAGTCATTATGAGGTAAATGTGTTTCCTGGAAAGCATTAGAACAGAAATGTTAATTTATGTACGTACCTTTACCAGAGTGATATCCGTGTAGGAATACACATGCATTGTATAAAAAAAGTGTTGTCGAATCAAACACAAAATAGCGTTTCACTTGCTTACCTAAACCACCGCCACCAAGACCTCAGAGTCTGGCTTGTAGATGGATTTAAAGAGGTCTTGACTCATAAAAAAAACTTCGGAGTCTGGAAAAAAGAAAAAAGCATACAGAATTCATCCAATCTGTAGCCATCACCACTATCTATCTAACTGAGCAATATTTAAAGCCATGACAGATTATTCCTGGTTGCTAAATAGTGTTAACCTGTCAAGGTGTGGGTTTGTAATCTTACCCTTGCTTGACAAGCTTTGTTATTTGTACAGTAATGTTAATTTGTGCTGAGGTTTCACAGCTAGGTGTAGTTAGGTGTAGGGAGCCTTACATTTAATGTTCTCTAGCTCTAAATAAAAATGGGTCTCTTTATCAGATTTTCAATTTCAACGCTTTATTAATCTATTTTGGCTTAATTCAGTGTCTTGCCAAATACTGAGTTCAGCCTTTCTCACAAGCATTTATTTTTAGGAAGGCTGGTGATGTCAATAGCTGAAGGAAGATAGATTGATAGATGCCAAAATGGACTGCTGTGATCTCTGTATGGAAGAGAGATGCTTTGTTTGTAAGAGCAAAGAGGATTGTTCTGTGCACAGAGATTATCACGAGTGTTTTATGAAGGTTATTTCAATGCAATCTTATTTTCAAAGTTTACCCCAGTTTCTATCCAGTGTTCAGTTCATTAAGGTGTTGACACAATTTTGCTGACACTTTTCTTAAGTGGATTATGTTCACAGCCAGTTTTTCAAAGCAAACAGATGGCTTTTCAAACAGAGCATGCCCACAGAATTTTTTTTTTTTATGCTGTCTCTAGAATTATGACAGCTCTGTCAGGGGGGGTTGGTTTGTCATTAATTTTCTTGTGATAGATGATTCAAAATAATTTTTGTTCTTTCAGCTTGCTCAAACAAGCCAACTGTTTAAAAATAAAAAGCACAAGGAAACTAAGACATAAATCAATCGGTCTGCACATGAATGGAATTGCACTGTGTTGATAAGTCCATTTCTGTTTTTAGATCACTGCAAAATAAGAATATCTTTAAAACATTGGAAGTATGCTCAGGAGGAGTTTTTCTCTTCTTGGAACCAGAAGACATGTCACGCATTGCCTCGAATGAAACCTGTAATCTGAATTGCCTGCTTACTTAAATGTGAAATCAGAATATGCATAAGGGAGAGCTGATGGCTCAGCACTGGCAAACTGGCTGTGAAGTCTCTTGGCTTCTGGTGACTTCAGAAATGAGTTTTTGCAGGATGGGCTGAGGCTCTTGTCCTCCAACTGGGTTTATCAGATCCCAAGCAGCTTCCCTTAAATGGGTGTCTCAAATGTGTGTCCCTAAGCACTCATCCAGCTCATGGGCCACCCTGAGAAAGATTCCCCTCTCCCTGTGAAGGAACAGAACGTAAGAAGGCAATGCAGGCTCAGCTGAAGCTCTTTTTATATCAGCTTATAGAGCTGTATTCATCTGCTGCTGCATGACAGGAAATCCTCCTCTTCCATGCACAGCATCTGTGACTACTCCTGCTGCCCAGGGAAGCGTCAGCCATGCTGCAGCAGAGAACAAGCTCCGAGAAGTCTTTCCCTCGACACCCCAACAAAGGGGACACCAGATGCTTCCGTGTGCTGGGCCTCCCGCATTATTTTACCTCTCCGTTGCCCTGGGTCTCTCAGCTTTTGGGCGTAGTTCTGCATGGTGCTGTAGGGTTGTCTGTTTTGAGTTGCTTTTTGTGCTCAGGGGATTTTTTTCTCTTCCTGTGCATGAATATGTAGTGACAGGTTTTTACTGAGAGAATTTAAGGCTGCAAACCATCGTCACGCTGATTGGCAGCTCGTTGTTCCAACCTTCAGTGCCTGCAGTCCTGTATGTGTGACATAACACAGGAACTAGCAGCCAGCCCTGCTGCAGCTGGGTCTATTTCATTCGAAAACTGAAGTACTTCAAATTGCACCTGTGTAATGAAGAACCTACCACCGTGTTTGCCTCTCTGGCTATGCTGTGGTGTGTTGTCCCTCTCGCTACAGTACTGGCTTGCATCCCCATCCCTCTGCAGACAGAGACAGTGGTGCCGGGCACTGGAGGCACGTAGGGGGCTCTTGAATCCCTGCCTACCACCTTTAAACAGAAGCCCAACCTTTGTCCTAAAGACAAGATCACAGCTATGTGAAGTATGTGCTGTGTAAATTTTATTCTTGTCTTGTTTTTTCCAAGCCATGCCCGCTTGCTGGGTTCCAAGCTGTTCATCTGTGTATTCCCATAACTGTCACGCTGCTGAGATACAAATCTCTTAAAAAGTGCTCCATACCCAACAGCACGGAGCTGCGTGCTCGCTCCCTGCGCTCTTTGTTATTCCAGCATTAAGTTGGATCCCTAGCATCTGGGTAGTGATTTGTGTTGTTCAGCAGGGACAAATTCATGTCACCAGGAGATGAGGCAATCACCTCCTCGGGTGCAGGATGCCATCTCTGGCTGACGTTGTTTCCCACGTGGTGTTTACCAGTGCAAGACTTGCAAGCCACCATTGTTTCTTGCTCGTGGACATTGTTAACAGAGGCTCAGGCGGTGCAAGCCTGGTGCCAGGCGCTGGCAAAAAGGGAAATGTGGTCATCAGTGTCAGATAAACCCCTTCCTCTCATCGCTGGGGAAGGGAGAGCTGAGGTGCTCCCGCTGCTGGAAGGTGTTGTGATGTCTCCTCTCACATCTGGTTTATTTTGAAAACTGAAGGAGAGTTGGTCAGTCGCCCTTCCAGTGTGCCCCAGCTCTTGCCGTAACATCTGTTGTCTCCTGTGAGACCTCACAACGCATCTGTGCTTGCAGGAGGTCAGGTCAGGTTGCAGGGATATGAATGTGACATTTCAGGCAGCATGGTTATTCCTTCTGCATATGCTCACAAACAGCTGCACAGTGGTGTGCTTTAGGCTGTGCTTCGGGTGACATTAGGAGAAGAGCAGCTCGAGTTCTTAGTGATACTGAATTTTAATTACCAGATACATCTTCTGGTTTTTATTTATTTGTATCCTCTAGCACCAGAATCTTGTATTACAGCACTTGAGATATCAATATTGCATAAATATTCATTTTGGCATTTTTGAACACAAACTTTTTAATATAAATTTCATGTAACACGTTTTTCCTGGTAGCTACGAATTGGATTGACAGCCTGTTAGTCACTTCACCCTTGCATGCTTTGAGCAGATATAAAATTAGGCTTTGGCTCATTTAGTCTTTCATTCCAAAGTGTCTGAATGAAGGTCTTAGAGTGGTCCGGATGGATTCACTGCGGTGTTACAGGCTGCCCTGCTTCTTATAACTACGCAGTTTGGCCTGCTTCTGCTAAAGGCTGGATAGCAAGTCCAGGTGCAAGGAGAGGTGGGTAACGGGGGTCTCGTGGCCTGTAAGGGACCCCGGCTGGGTCCCTGCAGTCATTGCCACTTGTGATCTGACGTGAGGGGTGTTCTCATGAGGATGGAGAAGTGGCAGAAGGAGAGGGTACCATGTGCTGCCCTGTCTTTGGCAGGACCTTGCTATTGACTATGGAAGAGGAGAGTCCATTTCCCTGCAGGGACAGGCTCTTGGGAGGTGACGGGCTCCTTACAGCAGTCCAAATTGCCTCCCAAGGGGGGAGTTTGGTGCCCATCACACTCACCCTTCCCCGTGTGCTGGCTGCTGCCTTCCCTGGTGAGCCGAGCTGCACAAGGGGCTTCAGTCCCTTCCACTAAGGGGGGCAGGGGGGGGGGAGCAGAGGGGATTTGAAACAGGACCTGGGTCACATTCCATGGTACCGACCAGTTCAGCAGACATGAGAGTGGTGTTCTTGCTTTTGGTCCCAAGCAATGTGCGTGATCCCTGACTCTGCCTGTCTGTCTGTGCGTCCTCAGGGCCAAGGTGACCTCCTGAAGAACGCCAAGAATGAAGCCCTGGAGAACATGAAGCAGATCCAGCTGGCCTGCCTGTCCTGCGGACTGAGCAAAACTGGAAGCGGGCATGCAGATGCAAAGTCAAAACGGTGCCTGGAAGCAATACAGGAGAAGGATACAGGAGATGAGAATGGGAGGCTGTGATCACAGGCAGAACTGTCGCATTTGTCACAGATTTCAATAACTCTAAACTATTTTTTTAAAGCATTTAAAAATTCACACAGGAATGCCCTCTACAGGGTGTTGATAGTATTAAAATCCTCACAATGTCAGTATTTTAATGCAGTTAATTTATCTAAGTTAAACTCTGGTAGTGAGATTTCTAATGAAGCCAAGCTGTCTGTACGCAAGCGTGCGTGTGTGCGCACATGCAAATCTTCTAGACGCCCTTTCATGCGTTACGTTAGCCATTTGCTAATTTATTCCTTTCTCATCTTTGAATAGGCCTGTTCATTCTGAAGATCAAAACAAATAGAGAGTACTTGTATCGGTTTTGTGCTTTATTTTAGTCTCCAGCTTTTATCATTTAACTTATATTACTGTTAAGCTGTTTAAACAAACAAAGTGCATCAACAAATGTCACTAATGGCTGTTTTTGTCGGGGCAAAAACAGAGGTTTGCTGCAGATCCTGAACATGGTTTTTAATGAACAATTCAAGCAAAGGATATATTAAATGGTCAGAATTATTGGATAGATTATGATTAGATTTCAGGTGTACATTTCATTGAATTTTAGCAAACTGCAATTTGGGGTACATCCAGATAACAGATGTTAATGTAAGAACTAGCTGATTTATTTCATTCTAGTGAATCATTGCTACCTTGTAGATCTGCAGGACAGCTACAGTCTTTGCTGATAAGCATTTAACTCGTGTAGTGATGAACATAGCTAGTCAGCCCTGTAGTTACAAGGAGCTGTGAATATTCTTCAGTGATTGTGAACTCTGAAGGTGAGCTTCAGGTCCTTCTGGAACACCCGATGGTGCCAGTATTGGAAGGAAGATTTTATAAATTTCACAAGCTGTGAGCTTTACTAGAAGAGGTGTGAGAGGTCAGATCTTGCTTGCCTTCTACTTAGTGATCCTGTTGAAGTCAGTGGGATAAAACAGGCAGGATCTGGCCTTATGTTTGTGGTTAAGAATCATGCTGTGCTAGAAATTTGAAACAAGGCTGCAGAACTGCTATGGGTGTAGTGTTAGAGAAATAGCTTGGGGAAAAAAACAGGGTACCAGCAATTATATGCAGCAGTTACAAATGACATGGCACGTGTCGAGTGTTTAGGGTAGCAGTGAGGATTGGATGCCTTTTTGTGCTGCTGTAGAAGGGACACAGAAAATGTCCCAAAGCATTGCAGCCCTGCCCTTCCCAATGTCCAGCTCATGTACACTCACAACATTCATTTCAGTCATAAGTGCTGTGCTCAAGTGTAGTATTTGTATTACCTAAACAGGACTTAAGTGTTTTATGGTTATAAAAAAGACTATATTTATTTAAAGCATTGCTTTTATTTTGAAAAGCTACTTTTTAAATTAATTTGATTAACAAATATACTAATTTTCTGAACTTAACAAAAAGTAATTGCTGAAGGTTTGACCATTGGAGAATCTTATATAGCTATTGTGTTAAGTTATTTTTGACTTCTTAATAACACTATTATGTTCATGTTGCACATTACTGAGAGAGTAAAGCTATGAAACAACTTTGACCCATGTTTTTAAAGTGTTTTAACACAGGAGGTAACCAGCGAGACTCAGCGTGGGTGAGTTGCTTGTGATAAGGTCCTGCTTGAACAGGAACTGTATTAATGCAAAGGTTGTAACACAGACGCCTTAAATACCATTTAAGTAAAACTTGCCATATTTGTTCAGATCCAGGACTAAATCCTCTGTTTATCTCTCCGTTAGATTATGAGTATGTATTTAGCCTTCGATAAGGTTCAGAGAAGGAGTGTCTGGTGTTTCACGCAAGGCCTGAAGCTCAGATCATGGTGCATGGTCGTGTTTTGCCCTCCTGGGTTACCTTCTTTATTTCATCATGGGTTGTGTTTATATTAAAAACAGCACTTGGCCTTTCAGAATTTACGATCAGGGAGGACGGAAATTGTTAACCTAATGCCACCAGTTGTGAAAGAAGCAGTCTTCATAAGGCATTCCTCTCAGAAGGTCAGAGTTGCTTCAGAAAATGAGAGAAGGGCTTACTTTCTGTGCTGACGTTGCAAGAGGTACCACACAGCACTTGGTCTATACACATTTGCTGAACCAGAAGATGGTGGCTGGACAGAAATCCCATAGCATGCAGGCACATACTTTCCATACTATATTTAGCACTCAGATCATGTCCCGTGCCAGTCTCAGGCTGTGTCTCTCTGTGCTGAAATACAAGAAGAAAATTTTGCATGCCCCAGAGAGCCCTGAGCAGTGGGGACCACTCCAGGCACTGGCACTTGCAGCCCCGCAGCTGGAGCAGCCCTGTGCTCCCTCCCGTGTGAAGAGAGGCTGGTGGCAAAAGTCCGTTTCGTCTTTTGTGCCCCTTTCAAAGTCACTGGGAGAGAATGCTAGTGGTCACCAGAGTAATAAAAATTCAGCCTTGAAAGAGAAGACATGGAAAAGATCATATCCAGCATTGATGGCATTACTGTATGAGGGACTGCCTGGCCTGCCGGGAAGGGTTGCATGACATGCCTGGCTTCCTGCAGCTGTAAAACCTTCTCCTCGCTCCATGTCAGTATGATTTGCCTCATTTCCCACCTGAATGGACAGATATGATCTATAGCAATTACTTCTGCAGAAGTGATGGTAGGAAAGGGTTTATAGGTATGCGTGGTTGTTCACAGTGTGTTTGGCAAGAGAAATCAGAGAAGCTCTCAGCAGACCGGCATGCAAAGATGTCTGCTCAGGGAGTACAGGAATGAATTTACCTGGGTACTTGTTCCCACTCTGCCATCAAGTCCTTAGTCTCTGTTCAGCACCGTGACCCATGAGGGAAAGAGAAGACACGGAGGTTTCACTTGTATTTTGCTTCTCGTGTACATGAAGGAATCCAGACATGAGGCACAGGAAAGGAGGCTGAATTAGTCCAGCCATTCATGGACCTTATTAATCTTAAATCGGCAGGGATATTTTTTACCAAATTTTACATGCTGGCTTGACCAGCAGGACTGACCCCTTCCCCCTCCTTCTCCTGAGCTCGGCATGAGTTAAAGCACCGTGCTTCTACACTTCTTTTTCTGTGTTGTTCTTCATGGATTTTATTCCCCACTTTTACAGCAATAATGCAGCTTCCCAGTGCAAACAAGGTGAGAGCTTTGTGTGTTCCTCCTGAGATTCATCTCCCAAAATAGCTCGTTATCAGATAATTACATGCACGGCGAGAGCTTTCCTGTATAATAATCCATCTCTTCCGTCTATCAGTTCAGACTAAAACATTGGGTCATGGCCTCCTTGGCCTCCATCCCAGTCCCATTGCAGCAGACAGCAGCCGCACACAGGGGCTAACTCAGGAAGGGCCGTGAAGCAAAAAGGTGATGGGGCTGCAGGAGCGCTCTCTTTTCCCCTCCTTCTGCTTGCTGTGGGATGGGGTGTGTTGGTCCCAGCTCACGCTGCAGCAGCAGCAGCAGATGTGTGCAATCAATAAATCTGAGATTTACTTCTTGTGAAGTTCAGTGCTTAGCAGAGGCAAGGTGATTGTGAGATATGAAAACATCTGGGCACTGTGAACATGCACTTGGGAACAGAGGATGATTTAATGGTGTGAGGCAGCGGGGTTCACTCCAGAAATACTTTGAATCTACTGGGATGCATGAGAAGTGGGTGTGAGGGCAGGAACAGCACTGAAGGAAGGGTTAGTGAAGGGGGGGGTTTGATTTTGTCTCATATTCATCCGCAGCTGACTGTGGCTCTGCTGGGGAGCAGCCCGTGCATGAGGAGCAGGTGAGTGCCTGATGTGGGAGCAGAGAGCTGGAAGATCTGCGTGCTGGCTGTGTTAGCCACTGCTGCAGAAGCTGGGGAACTAAATTCGGCTTAGAGAGGCCTGGGCCTCTCTTATTGCTGTTTTGTGGGGCACTAATAAAATTATTCTCCAAATTCCAAATGTGGGAGAAAATCCTTCCCATGTCTGCACCTATAATGCTTGGCTGTGTTACGGACATCTTGCGATGAGGAGGTAGGTGGTGGGGATGGCTTGGAGGGGAGCTGTCTAGGTGGAGGCCTCACCAGGCACCAAGATGTCCCCCTTCTCCTCCCAGGGCAGGTATGAAAATCCCAAGGTATTCCCCACGTGTGAGAATAATCTGGCACCGTTCTTTGAGTTGCCTTTGTATAGATTCAGGCTGACTAGTCTTGTGTTTCCTTTCCAGAATGGGTCCCTGATACAAGATGTTTCCTTTTTAATGTAATGTGGAGGAGCATGCAAATTCAGTAACCACGATGTCAGCAGCCTGGCCAGAAATGTGATGCAAGAGCTATCTCACCAGCTGTTCCTGCAACAAAAAATATTGTGTGAACATGCCCTGATGAAACGGGTCAGGTTTTAAATGAGGATTTTCTGTTCTCTTTGATTACTTGAAGTAGTTTATGAACAATATGTTGCTTTTGCAGAAAATATTCATAGGGTAATTTCAAGAGAACGTGCAGAAATCAAAATCCCTGCAGACTACACATGAGCAGGAAGAAGTGTTAGATTTGACAGCTGCTTGCTGTACACAGCGCATGCCACTCTACTCTGGAAACTGGAAGAAAAAGGAATGATTGCAAAGGCAAGTTTGAATTATTGGTGGTGTTAGAAGTAAATACCCAGTTAAACTGAGCAGCAGGGGCCCACTAATGTATTAAGACACAAATACAGTGGGCTCAGGAAGCAAACGTGACACTTGAGGCCAAGAGTAAGCGTGCAGGGAGAGGAGGCGGAGGGTCGGTGTGTGCCATGTGCAGGGAGGGATGGGGGCTGCTGGGGGGCTGCGTGGGTGTGAGCTGGTTGAGAGCCCCCAGGAGCAGCCACCGCCCTCGCTGTGACACCGACATGCAGAACTCACAAAACTGCTGTGCTTCAATGATACAATGTGCCATTAGCAGCATTTTAGACGTTTCTGCTTGCAGTAATGAGTGAGGTATTATTTTTTGTAAGATAAAACTGATGATCATTTTTGAGCCAAAAAGTCACCCTGACTGAATGCCTGTAGTTCATCCTTGGTCTCTGAATTGAATTTAATCAAGAATTTAGAATATGGGAAGAGACTGAATATGCCAAGCAAAGCATTAATTTCAGATGGCAGCTGAAAATGCGGCTAAATAAGATACTTAGACATAAGGATGGAGATGAGCTTAGAAGTAGGCAAAGCCTGTATTAATCTGGTTTGTCTGGAAGTACATATGGGGAGAGTGGAAGAATATAGATGAATTATTTGTATGCTTTCTCAGATGGGTCTGGTGGGCCAGCTACACATAATACAATTAGAAAAGAGATACAAATTATGATTCAGACAGCAGGAGCTGCTGTGGTTATTTATGATGCTGGTGGATGGAGAAGGGTACTGGCAGCAGAGAGCAGCAGGAGCTTTGCAGTTGCAGCATTAGCACAAAGGACAGGGTGAGTGATGCTGCTGCTCTCTGCCACACGAAGCAAACAGGCCAAAGCATCAGCTGCTGCTGTGTTTGTTTTGTAGCTGGGTTCTCTGAAACTGAAAAATGAGTAGGTGTGCTGGAGAGGCAGAAACAAAATATTGAAGAACGTATTGATATTGGCAAGTCCATTTGTTTCTAGTGTTGATGTACTTTCTAAAGCCAGCGCAGCGCAGCTACACTACTGGAAAAGAGCACCACTCAGTCTGAATATCTCACCTTGCTGCACAGAGACCGGGAGGTGACGGGCTGCAGCAGAAATGCTGGGGAGAGGTGAGAGGGGCTCCTGAACAGCTGGCACAATGCAGAGGCAGCAAAGGACATTGCAGCGTGTGTTTTATCTCCAGCATGGGTCAGTACTGTTTGGTTCAGGTCTGTCCGTGTCCCTTATGGCAACACGAGTTGCTCCTATGTTTCTGGAAACCCTGCTGCAGAATTTAGGGTCTGAGCAGAGGCAGGATGTCTGCTGGTGACTGCCCATGATCCATCAGCCCTTGGGACCTGCGTGTCAGGAGCTGTGAAAACATCCAAATGCACTGCCCGCCAGGCTGCTCTGCTCCTCTGGTGTTTCAGACCTGTGCTGCATCAAAAGTTTTGCAAAGGAAGGTTGTGCCTGGGCTGAGGCCACCTGCAGAGCTCAGCCCTGGGGCAGTGTGGCAGGGCTGCCCCAGAACAGCTCTCCAGGAGCAGCCTTTGAGTCCGTCTGCCAGGCAGTGTGCTGGACGCAGGTATTACCTTCAGCTATTTGTCAGCACGCTGGGCTCTGGGAGTTGGCAGAGTCAACCTAGTTGCTGAAATATGAAAACCATCTGCTTGCATCTTTGCATTTGATACTTGCTTTTCTTGCTTTCTTTGCCTCTCCCACTGGGGGCTCTGAAAACAGTGAATTTTATTTCAGTGGTGTTCCCCTGTACTGGGATGAAGCCATGAGTGCACAACAATTGATGCCACTGAATGGTACTGCTGAGTTCAATGCTTCTACTTGTGCCAGGGTGCGTCATTTCCAGACTAAAGGAGATTTTGTTTGTTATTGATTCTAAGTTGATATTTCCTATTAAGGTGACTGTAATAAACCTGCAGCCATCATTCAGCTGGAATTCTTTCCTCTCTTGAGGAGGCGCGTTATTTGAGAACTGACACCATGGTCTGTCACGCTCTTTTTGTGACTACAGGCTGCTGCTGAGGGATTTTTCTTAATGCTTAAAGGTCATAATTGACATCAAATGAACACAAATGTCCACAGGAAAATTGTTTCTACCAGGCAGTAAATCAAGGACAGAAGAAAGTCTCCAATGTGGAGTCAGACACCAGCATTAATGAAGACAGGATGGCACCAGTTTTAATTCTTCCAATTATTTATGTGAAATGGATGTGAAAATCAACTAAATTGTATTTAGTAATGATGTGCATGGGAAAGAGCATTAGGCCTGGTGAGGAATTTTTATAGGGCAGCCTTACACACTGACGTCCCTGGATCCCAGCTATCCAGAAAAAAAAAAGAAAAAAAAGAGCTGTTTGTGTGTCCCTAGTACCTGAGGCAGCAGGTAGCGTAAGGGACATGAGGCAGAAGAGATACAAACCTCAGAGAAGCAGTGAGAGCAGTGCTTCTGCCAGGAGCAAAGCTATGGGGAGGAAACGGAGACCTGTTAAGGTAAAAAGTGTCACATCTTATGTGATATGGTGGCAATGCTGCAACCTGACTTGATGGGAGCAGGAAGACGACCTTCAAGAGACTGAATCAGGCACAAGGACAAGGCAATGAAATTTGGTAAGTCAGCATCAGGGATCCTAGGGTGTCTCTGCTGCTCCTGTGTAACAGGTTTCAGCCCCTTGGTGAGCGTGAATAACCTTTTCCCTGAGACCAGTTGTGCTTTTCCAGCATATCAGGAACCCTCTAGTTTCTCCTCCATTGAAAACAATTGCACCTTCTCCTGGGGAAGGCAAATTGATTGTCAGGAGTTCGAAGAATGAAAGCTGAACAGGTGGCTTTCTAGGTTATACTCTTTTCTTGGCAAAAGCTACTTCTCTGATGAACGTTCCTGCCTGCAAGAGAGAAACACAGAGTGACTGTAATTCCCCAGGATGGGAGCAGCAGCGGCTTGAGAGTGAAGGCTCTGCAGAGTGAAGCTGAAAGGATGAATCTGTTTAACTGCACATCCCATTAAAACGGGTGGCCGGACAGAAAATTGCCTCTAGCAGCACCTGGAATGCTTGAGGCATTGGACAGGGATTTAGTGCCACTGCCCACATGGTTGTGCCAGCGAGACTCAGAGCCCAGCCTCTGCATCCCACTATGGTAGGGGGTCAGCCCCTGAGTGAGGACACAGCGGGACAGAGCTTGGTGCTGCGGGGTGGCTTGTAGGCATGGCCAGGCTGCAGGGTGGCATGGTGAAGGTGTGCAGCCTCTGCTCTCGTGGCATGTTTTAGCAACTGAGAGCTCAGCTCTGTCTGCTTCTTTGAGAAGGCACCCTAGACCTGCGAGGTCCCTGCTGAGTGTTGCTTTCTTCCATTTTGGAGGGAAATAGGCCATGAAATCACCTTTTTTGGTAATATCTGTTCAAGGTTTGTCCTATTTTCCTAGAAGGGCTCCCATGCAAATTTTGGACTCCCAATGCTGGGACTTGTTATTCTAACACTGTAGCACCATGCATCATTTCTGCTGCCAGTATCCAGCAGGCACAGCAGTGCCCTCACTGCGTGTGTGGTAGACATGGAGACAGACAGCGGGGGTGGCTGGCTAATGAGGACTCCAGGCCTGGCAGAGCAGGGAGCAAACCTCTCTGGGAACATAACAGTGGCGCTCACATGCCCCGTGCTGGCCACAATCCCCTGTCGTCCATGAACCACGAAGTCCAAGAAAAGCTTTTAAAGGAGATTAAGCTTTTCTTCACGACAGATGAGAGTGATATGATGAAGGTTAAAGGTAATTAATGACATCAGTCTTTGTTTTGAATGTGTTTGTTTTTTTTTTTCAAACTGATTGAACAAAAGTTTTTGAAAACAGAGTTTAAGCAGGTGTAAGGTTAGCCAAGATTAGTAAGACTTTCTGCCTCATAGCCTGAATGCGATGTCTTCCACTTAGTAATCCTTCTTCAGGTCAATGAATCTTCTTGTAAAAGGAAATAAATATATATATATATATACTACTGAGAACTCAGCTGATACTTTATAACTTGGTTGTCTGTCTGTACACAAGAAAAAGTGAATGTGGCATCAAGTTGCCAGTGGCTGAATAGTGTTAAGAATACATGGACAGCTGAAATGTCCTAGATTTGGAATTTAGTTAAGGTCAATTTAATTAAGGCTGAAGTAATTAGGAATGTGAGTATCCCCAACAGCATTTGATGTAGTTTAACAGATTCGCCTTAAGTTCAGATGCTAGTTAATGCAGACTAAATTTCTTTGTGGACAAGCACTGAGCTGGAGGACTGCCCGTGGGGTGCCAGGCAGCTCCTGGCAAGTTAGCACACAGCTTCTGCTCCACGGGAAGGTGAGAGAGCAGGGCGCTAAACCAGTGTGCTCTGGGATAAAGAAAACTCAATCTGTGAGGCTATGTTTTATCATTATAATCCCTTGTGCTTTGGCTGAGCCATATGGCAGTAGTTCCTTTCACAGATCATCTCAGGGCACAGATGATGCCAATCTCCTGCTTGTAAATTAGCTGGTGCATTGACGAATTGGGCAGCAACGTGAGCTGCAGCAGATTATTGCACAGTTACTCCCCAGCAGTCACTGTGGGATCGTGCTTTCATTGCTCTTGGTCTTGCCAAAAGGAAGAGAGGGCAGAGGCACTGGCTGGTGGTTGGGTCTCTCTCCAGCCCCAACTGTCTGCAGATGGGCCAGATCCGGCATTTTGGCTGAGCAGCATGCAGTACAGCCTGCACAGCAGAGGGGTGACGGTGTTTTTGGCCGTGTGGGCGTATGAGCATGGTGCAAAGCTGCCTCCTTGTACATGGGGCATTGCAGCACTGTTGCAGCAGCTCCTTTAACCAGGACCTGGGCCCCCAGCCTCATGAGCTGTGGAGGGGACCCTGCCCAAGGCTGGTCTGCATCGAAGTGCCTGAGGCCCAGGGCAGGTCCCTCGCAGAAAGGCAACTGCTGAGGAGGTTGCAGCTGCAAGGCCACCGCTTGGGGGGCCTGAGCCAGCCTGTGGCCATAGCGAGGGAAGTGACTGCCTCAGGCCTTCCCTCTCCTCTGGCCCCAAGGTGGGGCAGTAGCTGTGTCTGTGCCAGGTGGGCCTGCCCGCTTCCTATCGTCTCTGGGGAAAAGCTCTTCTTGCCTTCACCTTGAAGGGAACACAGATACACCCCAGCCTGGGAAGCCTTGCTCTAGGTTTTGCTGGTACTACACGGAAAGAGCTTGTCCTGTGAGTCCTTACATTCACTAGCAAATGCTGAGAAGCAGGTTGGAGATGGACCTCTTTCAGCCTGAGTCTCTGACCCGCTGCTCAGCTGGCAGCCTGTCATCTGTTTGCATGAGCAACAGAGAGATTTTCTGTGCTAAGTGAATGTCCTCCCAGCTTGGAAGAGGCTGTGCTGTTAATTCCTCTGCTTGGCAAGGCTTCTGCACTTGTGTTTTCTTCTGAATCACAAAGGTCAATGGTGCAAACCACCCTGTTGCTGTAACTGAGCAACTCGTTCAGGCAACTAGAGAGCCCACACCCCATACACACGGTGAGATTTTTAAATGATTTTTTTTTTCTCTTTTATATATAAATAGAAGTCTGCAGGCATCCTCTTCCACTCTTTCTCTCAAATCATTAGGGCATATGTATGTCTGCTCACTAACAGAGGGGAGACAAATAGGGACATCATAGAAGGAGTCTCCAGGTGACCTTGGACCAAGCAAAGATTTGTTTCCATTTTGAGGAGCATAAATTCTTGTGCTCGTGACTGTGCAGGAAGCAAGGAGTGAATTTTTCACCTTGACTTCTAGACAGTACAGAATGAAGCCTTTCTGGACGAGAGAAAGCTGAACGAATGTGTCTACTTTGAATCAAAACTCCCATTTCATTGCACTCTGATGCAAACATAGAGCAAAAGTCAGACAGGTTTGGCATGCTCCTCGGCCCTGCTGTTTTTAAGTATTTATTTGACATTGTTTCAGATGGATTTCAGTGATTATCATTTATTCACCTTCTATTTGGCATCTTTATCTGAGCTTAATATTCATCTGTGGATTGAGTAAAATGAATATTTCAAGCCTTAAATTATGGATGTACTGCAGCACTGCTGGCATCTCAGACTTAAAGACCTTTGTGCAGTTTTTGCATCTCATCTGTTTTTTGGTGTCTCCTGAAACTGTCAGGGAACTTTTGCTGGCCTGCTGGAGAGCAGTGCCTGGCTGCAGCGGGCTGCAGGGCATATATGGGGAGGCTTTAGAGCCTCAGTCTCCTTGGACACCACCCCTGAGCCCTTTGCTTTCCCCCTTCAGCAGCTGTGGGCCGTGCCTCTCCTCTCCCACCTTTGTTTCTCCCTTTGTTGTGGGTTTCTCCCCAAGTGTTTTCTTGGCTGTGCTTTCTGGGTTTTATGCTCCCTTCTCTTTCTTCTCTTCTTCTCAGCGTGCAGGGTGCTTCTCCCTGGCAGTTGCCATAGAGATCACAGCACTTCTCTCTGCCTCTGCGAAAGGCACTGCTATCCCTGTGTAGCTTGGCTGGCTGAGCCAGCTGCCTCATCCCAAATGTGTCATCTTTCCCTGCCCCACACCGTGTGACCTGACTGTCCTGTAGGCTGACAGGCTGCTTACCTCTGTCCTGGGATGCATGGCTATGCCATTGTATTGCACTCCAGGCTCCCAGTAAGCATTCCTGATCCGTGCACAGTAGTGGAGGACAATGAATTGCTAAGTAGCCCCATGGCAAGACTGCCCCTTCCCAGCTCCATGCCCTCAAATTTCAATCCACCTTCTGCCTTCCACCTGCTGGGTACCGTGGTGCTCCTCATGTGCAAAGATCAGAGCAGCAGGAGTGCCAGTGCCTCCGAGTGCCAGGGCACCATGAACCCCTGCTTGCCTGGGCTGACATGCAGGAGAGAGGCAGATGGACAGAGAAGGGGTAAGGGACCTCACCATGGCCTGGCCTTTTGCTGCCTTCCCTTTGTGCCCTGGTCATAACTTTAGGTTGCTGCAATCTGTAGCTGACTCAGCAGTGGTGGTACAAGGTTCAGTGCTGATGGCTGGCTGAGAGATGAGAGGTAACTGCTTTTCTCTCTGGCTAATCTTACACCCAGGGGATCATGTGGAAACTAACCAGAGGGTGGGGAGTTAGTGTCCTCTGCTGGCCTCATGAATATGATTATCTGAAACTTTCACTTGGCAGCTTTGTACATGCTGTTCCAGCACCATTATCTTGTACGTTGATTCAAAGCAATCAATAAGCCTTCAAGAAGGTTGTCCTGAACACTTTTGACAAATTATTAATAGAAGTCATTTGAGCAGTTGAGCTGTTCAGAACTTTTTACTGTTTAAAAGCTTGACTGTTGGGAATGCAGCATGCAAAATATTAATTTCACTTCATACATTTCTAAGAAGAATTTCTGATGGAAGGGAAGCTTCGTTCTTCTGAAGTGATGCTAGAAGCAATGACACAACCATTCAGACTCCATTTGATCAGTTGTAGATAGAGTTACCTGAAGATTCTGTATTTTCCTCCCATGTTCACAGGCACTTAGGAAAGGTTGTGGCTTTATATGGCAAAAATGATCAGAACGGCAGTGAACTTTGAAAAGTTCAGAAAAGAGAGTGTATTTGAATGGAGTTTCTCAAGCAGTAGCGGATGAAAACTGCCCTGCTTGCGTCTAAATCAGAATAAATGAGGAAGATATGAACTGAGCCTAGTGTGGAGGAGTACCAGGTAATAGTTGGACATTGCAGAAAATACTACCTTTGTCACCTTTGGTGACGTGGGATTTGACTAGAGCTGAAATCACAGGGAGATGAATCTGTCTTCCCTGCAGAGGTTCAAATAGAAGAGACACTGTCAGGGTAAATTAGATGCAGGACAAAAGCCTTCTGATCACAGCGGGTTTCAGGGGGTTTATTTTAATGGGATAACTCTTAGCTGAGGGCAAGCTGAGCTAATGACTCAGAGTTGTGTATTGCAATAAAGGCGTTGTAGGTTTTTTTTTTTTTTGGAAATTCTGAGATTTCCTGTTCTCTACTGAAACCATTATGAAAAGTGTTAAAAGATCTGAAGGGATGGAAAAACAGCCTACTTGTAGTGTTTGCTTTCCTGCCAAATGACCACTAGCAAGGCAATTTTACCAATCAGTCAGAAGCAAAATACATTTTTACTGCAACTTTGCAAAATCTGCCTCAATCATTCATGATAGGAAGAATTGCCCTGTGGAGAAGGCAGTGACTTGGCCCTCTGAAGCTTAAAGCTGAGTTTGAGATGTCCTGAGTTGTTTTGGGAAAAGTGCCTAATCTTTGTGCACCCCTTTAAAACATGATTGATACTTCACTAGCCGGTCTGGGAAGTTTCTGTCACAAGTCATTCCTGACAGTGCCAGTACTGTATGCTCAGTGTCCTGCCACCACAGGATCCTGATCTTGTCTGCAGACTTTTTGCTCCAACTAAAGTATAGCTATAAAAATCAGAATGCAGGATGTTGTAAGTACAAAGCTAGTTCATATGAAAACAACCGGAGAGTAACCAGATTACACTCCAGTACACTGGGTTGTTGGCCAAGGTTATTCAGTAACGTGCCAAGTGACACAGTCTCTAGGTTTTAGGTTCTTACTGCTTTTGAAGATTGTTGCTTGTCCTATGTCTGGTGAATGAATGATTTATGCCTCAAAACTGTCCCAGCAGTGCTTCTGAGCTACTGGGATTATAACTATGAAGTATTAAAAAAAAAGGTCACTATTTTCTCCCCATGCTGACTTGAGAACATAGATCAGACTGATAACAGCTTTGAAATAACCCAGATGTGGATATGTTTCCCCAGAAATTGAAGTCTTGCATGTGTTTACGGTCGCAACAGCTCTATGTGTGCATCCCCTCCGGCACAGGCGAACCTGTTGTCCCGTGGAAGCAGCTGAAGGCTCGAGCAGCCTGTCTGGCACCGGGTGTGCTGGCTGCTGGAGTGACAGATTTAACGCTGTCACGGCTTTGCTCAGTGATGTCACTGGTGCTGAAATAAAGCTGCAGCAGATGAAGTCAGCGGCTCTGCTGGCTGGCTGGAGGCTGTTCCAGCTGTACTGACCACAGTGCTCTACAGAAAGATATCTGCATTTCTTCTCCCTGAGTACTTTGAAAAATGCTGTAGGGAAGCAGCAAGGGACACAGGTGGCCAGTGGCTCCAACACAGCCCAGCCCTAAGGCGTGTCTCTGTCTGTGTGAATCTGTCTGAAGCTGGCACTGAAATTCTCTCTTCTTTCTCATGCCACTGGGCCAGAGGCTGCCTGCTTGCTTAGCTCACCGTGAGTACTCAGGCCTCCAGGGCAGCTGGAGTGCCAGCTTGCTGCCAGCTCATCTGGGGAAACTGGTGACCCTGCCTTTGCAGGTGCATGGTCATTCATGCCTGGGGTGTCTTCTTTGCCCCTGTCTTGTGGTGCTCGTGGATATTGCCCAGCCCAGCTGTCAGTGGTGCCATCGCCCTGTCTAGATGGGTATGCGCTGTTTCTTCTAGAGACAGTTCAGAAAGCTAACGTGATCACTATGTCCCATGGTGACACATCATCAGAAGCTAAGTATACCAAGGAAGAACATGGTAGAATCAGTAGGAATCATTTGGGTGAAGTAAAAGGTGACCATGAATTTCTATTTCTTCTTGCTAGGAAAAAATAAAAGGAAGTTGTATTTTGAGCATAAACTCTGCCTTCATTCAGGGTTGGCAAATCCTGTTTTTTGTTCTGTTTGTTTTTAATGTTCTTGCACTAATTTCCTGGCTATTCCTGCTTGAAAGTCCTACTGGACAATGACTGAATCCTTTTGTCTTGCCTGCCAAATAAAGCAGATTGTCAAAAGCAAAACATGTCGTGGATCATGTTTTGCAGACAAACCGGAAAAGAACTTGGATGCTTCACTTCCTCTGAACTTGCTGCCAGATCTCATGGGCTTCATATACAAGCTATATGGCAAAAGACTGCTTTGCATTTCTATAACTCTATAGAAGTGTAGTAAAAGTTGGGCCACACTCTGAGCAGTAACTTGAGTTGGGCAGCTCTTGTGCACAAAGGTTGTGGTGGTTCTGTTTCCTGAGGGGCCCCACAACATTCAGAGGGGTTATCTGGTGAGCAGGACAGTTTGTGTGACCAGGAGTGTGAGGCTCAGCACTGATCTATCAAATCTTTTATGCTGGCATTAGGCATTGCCACGCTGTTGTTCGGTCACCAGCTTCTAAGTTTGCTTTCTCAGACAGGCTTGCTCACTGTTTTCTACGATCTGCCTTGTCCTAGATCTAGACCTCTCTGGAGACCTGAGTGCGTCAGCTGGGTTTGTTTTTTGTATGTGGCTGGACTGGGCAGAGACGTGGCCTGGGCAGCCCAGTCTGCCAGCAAATAGCCTCTGCTCAGCACCTGTGAAATGCAGTGTGCCCTCATGGCTACGTGGCACCTGGTGTACCAGGTGTTGGTGTGAGCAGAAAGCAGGCAGGCCCTAAGGCTTGGTGAGCTCAAATATGCTGTTGAGGCTGCTCTTCATCCTGGTGTGTATTCAAGACATCGCTCCACACCTTGCAAAGGGGACGTGTAGCACCCGACTCCACACTCAGCACAGATCTGAGGAGTTTGAGTTTTGAAGCTGTTGGAATTTGAGTATGAGGCTTGTTGTTCAGAGGCAATATCTTTTCATAGCTGTTATCTCATAGCTTTGTGCAAATACTCTAGGTAAAATTGCCCCATAAAAGTCTAACCACAAATCAGGAGAGGTGGTGAAAGAGAGTGGGTTGGAAAGAAACTTTCTCCCCTCCAGTCTATTTTAATTTTATGTTGTGAAATAAGGGGGCTCTAAGTAAGCCAGCCAAGTATTCTCAGAAGAATTGAACTATCTGCAATGTTTTATCTTCAGTAAGATTTTTTTTTTCACCTTTCTATAGGGAATTAAGACGTCACTTGATGAAGCAGATCTGTGGTGCTTTGTGCCTGCGTCCCAAATTCTTGTCAGAGGGGGAGGAGTTACATAACGGGCAGAAAGAGTGCAAAATTCCCAGTATGCTGTGTTTGCTCTGTGAAAATGGTGTCAGGGGAATAGACACACAAAAGTAAGATCAAATAAATAGAGCTGAGAGAATGAACCCGAATGACACATGGAAGTTACAGAGAAGAAGCTGGTAGTTTCAGTTGTGATTTAAGAGTTTAAAGGGGTAATGGCAGAATAGAGGTAAATCCAGTTTTCTTCCACACGTTACAAACAGCTCATTATTTTCATTTAAATGTTTTTTTTCTTTCATTTTTGTTTTTCAATCCAATCTTCATTGTCTTGTGTTAAGGCTGATAGTCTGTGTAGGATCTAAGCTCATTCCCATTGAAACACATGTAAAGACCTCCATAGGCTTGCCAGCTTTCCAGGGTCTAGTCAACTTTGCAAATTCTGTACCAAGCAGATACACCTTGACAGCACCTGATTCTAAATCATTGAAGTTACTCCTTGGAAATTATAAAATTTCTTAAGAAAGAAAAATCCTTAAAAATTCCTAACAAGTAGTACTCCCATGACTACTCGCCTAATAAATGCCATATGGAAGAACAGTGCAGCATTTGATTTCCAGAGTGCTCAGAAACCAGCTAAGAATGCCAAATATTGTTCCTGGTTGGCCTGGAATAATGGAGCAATGCACATGCTGAAGCTCTTGCATTGTTTGTGCAGTTCTGAAGTGTTTTCCCATCACAGGAAAGGTATAGCCCCATCTTATATTTTTGTTCATGTATTATTGCTCATTCATGTGTGTTCTGCTTTCTTGCTTCTTCAGAATTTAGTGTAACAGAGGTAAATTGCCATTGCTCAGATACACCTCCTTTTCTGTAAGCCTAGTTAAATCTAGGTATACAACAGCAATTTGTATTTTTATATCTTTCACAATGCTAGGGTGCACCCACAGAGGACATCTGATGGGCAAACGTCATTGGCAAAAAGCCAGACTAACTTGAATTTGTATAGTATTAGCACACGTGAAGGAATTCAAAGTTAAACAGAGATCCTGCCACAAATTTGTGTGAAGGAGCAAAATCATCTCTCGTAGTGCTCAGTAGCAGCAGAAGGTAGAGGAGCCCTGGAGGATCGTTGGCATTTCTCCCTCCTTGCTTCCTGTGTCTGGCCTGCACGTTGTCCAGGGCCCAGTCTCTTCAGAGTCTCATCCCCAGGGAACATGTTGCCAATGGGGCTTGGACATCACTGCAAAAGGCACTTTTCCCTGACAGCCTCAGTTGGCTTTTGAATGCTGAGGTGCAATGGAAATGTCCCTGGTGCACCTCAGTGAGGATACATTACTATACAGTGACCCCAGTTCTTTACGATTATCTACAAAAATGAGAAAATGCCAACCTTTGCTATATGTAAATGTTTTCAGAGAGGCAGAGAGAGGTACAAAAGAATGGGGGTCAATTGGAAGAAGAATGCAGCTCACTTCTCCAATAGCAATTACAGTGTCTGAGTCTTACCTGACTGCTAGAGACCTGCTGCCTCACTTGGTAACGAAAAACAGGCCCAGAAATGATGGCGTAGCTATAGCAGCACTGCAGCTGGGGAGCTGTTCATTACAAATAGCCCGTGCCAATATGGTGTTGTGGAAAAACTCTTCAGTACCTCTTCTACCTTTCAAGCACTTTTTATTTTCCTTCCGTCCTATCTGTGTGCTCTTGCAGTCTGCTGCTGGGAGGCCTTGTGCATCCTGTTTTGCATTTGGACTCCTAAACCTGGCTCTTGGTTCTTCCATCAGCTGTTTTCAAACAATCTTTTGTGCCAATCTAATAAACAGTGGATGTATAAATTTAGTGAAGGACTGATCCCAGATGCTTTTCTGTCTTGTACTGTAATACATTTTTCATAAGCAGAAATTCTGTTCTTAATGTTCCAAAAGTGATATAGAAGTTGGAAAAGCAGCCATGTCTAGGCCTCCCTTACCTGCTGTTTCTCATTTCTGCAAAAAGAACTGTAAGTAAAATTACATGCCAGGGTCTTTAATCACAGTCTGAAGGTTAATACCAAGGGTTTATGAACTGCATTTCCCTCAAAGCTTTAGCAAAATACTTGATTCCTGTGCTTGTCACAATTTCTGTGCTATGCCAGCTGTTGCCTGATTATTCTTGTTTCATTAATAAAGAGTCATGTGGTTGGAGATAAAGGTGAGCTGTGATGTTGCAATGCATCACCATTGAGTTGTGTGGATGAAGCCTTGATAAAAATCTCTGCTCTGTGATGTACACGCTCTCAAAATTCACTTTAGGAAGCATTCTTGCTTTCATTGTATCAGCCTGAGAGGAGACGCCGCATGAGGAATTTGCACAGGAACTGTTTCTCAGCCTATCAAATATTTGCCTATTCCCAACTAGAAGGAAACAGGCATTTAGCGAAGGGGATGTGTGCGGTGGGATCAGAGCTGTGTACTGTGTTGGGCTGCTGCTCTGCTGGTGCAAGAGCAGGAGGGCTCAGCTCTGTAAGGCTTTGGGCTTAGCTGGGTAAATGTGCCCCGCTGGCAACTGTTCAGTGGCATGGCAGAGCCCTCTGCACTGCATGGCATGCAGCGCGGGGAGCTGCTGTTTGGGCCAAGCTGATAAAGCCCAGTTTATTATGGTAGGAAGCTTTGAGTCTGTGACCAGCTGAACACTTTCAACACGTGGTAGTGAATGCAAGTGTAAGCACCTTGTACAACTGAACAATGACTCTCTTAATGTCTTCCCTGGAGATTTCTTACCAGAAGAGAAAAATTATTCACTTTGACTATTCACACCAGACTATTCACTTTGCCTGAAAGGAATTTAATCCTTCTGCATCTTTGAACCGTTTGGAAATGTGATGTTCAAGCAGATCAATTTTCTCTAGGCAGATGTGTGATATGCCATTTCTCTAATTACTTTCTATGCATGCTTTAAAATGAAGAAGTTCAATTTCAACATATTATTTTATCTTATCCAGGAAGAACAGCTTTTTTCTCCTTACACCCACTGCCCAGCAACAGATTGAGAAACACACAGACGCACACGCTTATAGTCCACTATATCATTTCTCTCTCTAATAACAATAGTGTGTGGTTTTGTGTGGGGAAAAAAACACAACTATTTAATTACTAAAACTCTATTAGTTCTGCTCTTAACTCTGCTGACCCCTTTGTAGATTAAAAAAGAATTAACCCCGCTGGCATAGATCCCTCCTGCCATTTCATTGTGTGCTTGGGTTTTGAACGTGTAGTGGAAGAGCAAGGAAGAAGACTCAAATAAACCTCACGATGATTAGACAAGTTTTGCTGACCAGTATTACTCATCATACTGACTAGTACTTGTTTGTTATGCCTGCAGGTTATAATGGAGGTGTCTGGCCTAGCTCTGAGGAAAAAAAGTTGAGCATTAGAAGCTGCAGCAGCTTGGGGCTGATCACCCCAAGTGGCTGACCTCGTTTGGGTACTATAGCTAGTTTATTGCAAGATAGTCCAATCCATAAGATTGGATTCTTCCATAGCACTGCCATTTCTCTGTAGGCACACTACAGTTTCCTTTTGCTTGCTCATTTGTCTCCCTCTGCCTGTTGTCTTGTATTTGCCATTGAAATTGCAAGCACTGTCAGGCAGGAATGGTCTTTTGTTCTGCATATGCCTCAGCAAACACAAAGGTATCATAGGCCCATGGATGCTACTGTGATAGCTTTAATTGTTTTCACTGGAAACCACAGTTGAACTGAAGGTTTCAAATTAGTTTGGTGAAGTGGGACTGTCTTGCCAAAATCCATGATTGCTTTCACATATTCCACTAAATTTGCTGCTAGGGTCTACGTGAGCATAAATCCTAACCTACTGCTGCGTTATTTGAGATTAGTCACTGGAGATTCTCTTATATAGACTCCAAGAAAGTTCACTGCTCACTGTCTTGAAATGTGTTGGCAAGGTATGGTGCATTGATTACTTGGTACTGTGCGTGCTTCTGATAATTAATGCTGGGATCTTGCCTCACTTAATGGGGAGTTATAGTGGAGTTTCCCACTAGAATTTGGTATACCTTGCTGGTGGTTTTCTATATTGTTCCCTCTAAATAGCAACATGCACCAATAGCATAACACAGTGAAGTTTTAACTCCTTTGTACAGTAGTTTTTACTCCCCATCAATAAAAAATTTTCGAGCCACCACCAACCAGAACATACTGCTTTCATATTCTGTGAAGGGAAAATATTTCAGCAGCTGAGAAATGCATGCTGCAGTTGGTATTTCATATGACTGATACTGGTGCGATATTGATAACTAGTAACAAAACTGTAAGAGAAGAGCGTAGTATGATACTCCAGCCAGATGTCTGGTTGTGTCCTTGGAAATACTGTCGGTAGAAAATTATTGCTAGAGATGCAGCAGCGCTGCCTTCACTGAGGGAGACAGACACTGACTGAGTAGGGTCTGCAAGCAGATTTATGGTAAAGACAGATGCAGAACCTGCAATCCAGAACAAAAACATTTGTGGGAGTGGAGAGTGTTAATGGCCTTTTTTTTTTTTTTTTTTTTTTTCGATGATGATGATGAAATCTGGGTAGAAAGAAACTAACAAACAACCTTAGTTATTATATTGCTGATGTGTTACCAGTCCAACTTTTGATGCGGAATGAAGCTAACTCGGTGCATCCTAGTGAAGAAAGAATAAAGGAATGGAAGGTAATCAGTATTATACTGAATGAATCTTTTTCCTATCTTCTAGAAGGCAGCAAGTTCACAGTCTTTTGAATTCTCAGAGCAAAACAATCAAATATCTTATGTTTTAAAGCCATTTTTGAGGCTGTTATTTGGCCATACTGTCTGGAGCCTTTTTATGTTGCTCAAAATGGAATTCATAAATTGTTTTTTGATGGTTATGCACATGTAACATCCACTGGGTGACAGCAACAGTTGAACATCTAACTAAATGTGCTCGAGAAAACAAGACTTTCTGTAATAACTAAGTCCCAGCAATGTGGAGAATACAATTTGAAGCTTGCCAGCTCATGGGCTATTGTTCATTCTGGTTAGCCAGAAGCAAAAGGCTGAGATCTAACAAGGGTGATGATTTCATCCTTTGGATACCAAAGCTTGAATATTTCAGTGTTGGAAGAAAAATGACACCATTTTATAGCTGCGTAGGACGTAATTGATACTTGTTTTTGTCTTCTACCTGAACTCACACACCTAACAATTATGTTTATGTTGTTGGCTTCTTTTTCTCAGCTGAACTTACAGCTGGACTGTGCTGAGCTTGATCCCAAACCAGCAAAAATAGATAAAATCTCTGTAGAAAAGTTTTTCTTGATTTTAATGTCTGTGATGTCTTCTCACAGAGAAATTGCAATGATTTCGTGGCATTCTAATAACTAGCGTGATCTAATTAGACTTGTAGGGAGATGTAATTAAAAAAAATAAAAAGACAAAATGGTATAGTCTTGGATTAAAAACAAAACAAAACAGAAGCTGTCAAGTACTCAAGAAGGCTGGGAAACTTCTGTTTATTCCCATTATATCAACTAGTTTAATAAAAGGCATAACTTCTTATAATCTGTCTTAGATATAATCACTGCAACCTTGCAGACAAGATATATGTTTTGCTAGGAATTCTTGGAACATCCCTTCTTGCATTCCTTCCAGAACTAGAGTTTCCCGTTCCTTTACATGCAGTATCTCAGTGAAGGAAGAAGCCTGACCTTCATTTACAAACCAATCACTGCTGGAGTATATGGAACAATACTTCAAAAGGAAAAATAATTTAAGGCACAGTGAGTATTCTGATGGCTATATTCAAAAAGCAAATCCAAAGAGTCTGTCTCTCTTGCCAGCTGTGTATTGCTCTAACCTCACTCTGATGTCACTCCAAAGATAGTTCTGTCCATAAATGTACAAAAATATCAGGGAGTGGTCAACTCTCAATATACAGACCCTCTAGCATCTTTGTTCTTAGCACTCATCAGCCAGGATCAGCGCAGTGTAACAACCCCTTCCATTACCTTCATTTTTCTCATACATTTTAGGGCCCTATTTTCAAGCCTTTTTTGGTTTTGCTGTAATTTGAGGCTAATTTTACTGTAAGTCAAAATGTTGACAAGCATACACTTCCTCTGTAGGTTTAGAGATTGTGGGTGAGTAGCATGTCTCTGTGCCACATTTAGCTTTGGATTTTGATGGAACAGACTGTTCCAACACGTCAGGCTTTTTCTCCTAGACCTCACCTTTCTGCCCATATGAAACACAAGCTGTTTGCTATTTTGTATCCTGCTCCTGTATAATGGACTAATTCTTTTCTTACACTGTCTTCCTTCTACTGTCACATCTTTTCTACACTATGGTGATCCTTCAAGCAGGAAATAGGTCTCCAAGTCAAGCTCCTTGCTGTGCTTGGTTGCTGCTTTGTATTTTCTATAACTGTAGTGGTCTAGTGGTCTGGGGTCTCTGGAGGAGACCATGGAAGGTGGTGCTGGTGATTCCTAGGGAAGTGAGAGGTGTTAGATCTACATTCTCTGTTTCAGTGCCAGACTATGGTATGAGATTCTAGACGTTCCTGTCTCTCTTTTCTTTTAGGAAGGAGCAGCAGTTGCCATCAATGTGTGTTGTGATCTTGAATGGAAGGGGAAGTGGATGAGAAGACGTGCGATGGTTTAGTCTGGGCATTTAGACAGCAGTCCTATCAGACTGTTGTAGCCAGTTAAACCCAAACTCAGCAGAATAAGAGAAGTGCACATGCACTTTCCAAACCATCTCCAGGTTTAAGTGCTGATGCAGGAAGTAAATTTGAACTAAAAATGCCTGGAAATTTAATTTTTGGTTGGCAAAATATGGCTATCTGAGGAACAGCTTAGGTAGTTAAAGCTCTTGAAGAAGGGCTTGTAGAAATAACCGAAAGCAGGTTTGTGTAGACTAAGTAGACATCAGAGGTGTATGCATTGTTATAGCTTTCTCAGTTAGATTTTTCAATGTGTGGTGCACTTTTGTAACCAGGTTTATAGTTGTTATTCTTAGAATGAAAAGTTTTCTTTGAAGATGTAGACCTGTACATCTTTAGATACATTTTCAGGCACTGGACAAGTGCTTCAGTAAGTAGCTATGATTCTTTTCTCAACAGGTGTATTAGTGTGCTAGGAGTTTAAGAGTTTCCCTGTTTTCTCCATGGAATGCATTCATATCTCTTGATCTGTGTGTTGTGGTATTATTATTATTTTTTATCCATGCACCTGGCTTGCCTATTCTCTTCATGCTCTGAATTGGGATCACAATTCTGCAAGAAAACCAGGCTTATACAGATGAATCTATTGATCTAGGTGTTTCATGAGAATTAGGCTCACATCTGTGTTCTCAAAAATAAGAGATTAAGGGCTTTTTATTTTTTTTTTCTTCCCAAGCATTAAATGAAGCATTTACTTCTCGTATTTTATCTTCTGCTTTGAAGAGTGAAATATACATAGGATTTGCAGTAGTTTTTTCTTTTCTTTCAATAGTGTTTGATGCCCTGTGAGATATTCTGGCTTTGCTAACATCAGTGATAGGCTTCCAGTCTTCAAGGTCAGTGGGGTTTACCCCTACTGTGTTGGGGTTTTTAGATGATAGCTTGATAAGCATGTTGTATAATTCTGACTTGCCCAAGCTCTTGCTACTACTTTTCAGGTTTATATGCCTATCTTCTTTGTAGACTTTTTTTCCTTTTCCTGTAGAAATATAACTTCATGTCATGGCAGTTGTGCCTCTTCCATCTATCTCTGGACTCCTGTGGATGAGCAGTGAGCCAATATCCTGTGACAACTGGCAGGCTCTTCTTAATAGACTGGTCCAGCTTCTCAGTACAGCCCTTAAAGTCGTGGATTCTTGGTCTGGAAAGTCCACCTTGAAATACCTTGCTGTTTCTTGCTGAAATCTGTTTTTTGGTGAGTGAGTACCATTTCACCTCTGAGATACCACAAGTGCTGATGATGGCTCCTTGCTTTGGAGGGTGTTGACTGTGAGTCTGGCCCCTGCTTTTAGATGAGCCTGGCAGATTTTTTTGTTGTAATTTGGAATGGTGCCTCCTTTGGCACCAAGCATTGCAAAAGACAATTATCCATTAGAGAAGTTGTCCCTGGTACATTTTCCTGCATCTGTGCTCATACTGATCTTTCTTCTCCTGTTCCATTACCATGGATATTTGGCAGGGCCATGAAACCTCTGGGTGCTCACTCAGTAGCCCAACCTGAAACACCACTACATCTAGAATTGGGATGCTTTGGGAAAGAGTAAAGCACCCTGGGGTCCTAGAGTTGCCATGTAACCTTGCCCCTTTCCATCCCCCAGTGTCCTCCCGTATCCTCCTGTCTTCCCTCTGTCCCAGTCCATCCTGCATCCCACCTACAGTTCCTTCCTAACATGCTCCAGCCCCTGCTGTGTGCCCCAGCCCCACCATGTCCATGTAGCCCCCTTGGCCATGCACAGGTGATATCAAAGTTGGGCTCATCCCACAGCAGTGACTGCAAGCACAGCTGGGTCAGCACTTCCAGCACCACCAGTATGTCCTGGGGGCAGGGACCCTCATGTCCAACAAGACCCTGCCAACTGGAGTAATGCTGATTCATGGGGACTGAGGCTCTGGGGACACCTACCCACAGGGCCTCAGGCATCTAGGAGACCCACTGACCTGTGGGGACCCCTTTTTATAGAAAAACTTGATACTGCAAAGGAATAAGGTATAATAGTAAATATTAAGTTGAACAATGTTTCTTTGTGCTACAAACAGTATATGTTTAAATTAACTCATCGCACTCAGTAACAAGTTTTGCCAGCAAATAGGCAAAACCTTCTGTGTGAAATAGTTCACTTCTAATAGCTCAGGATCTGTCAGACTTTTACCAGATGAATAGTTATTAAATTGAGGATATGTGCACTGCACTATTTAATATATAATGAAACTCTTTTAATAAATATATGAGCTGAGATTAAGGCTGCTAATTTAATCACTGACAGCAGAGTCTCTGTGTATGGAAAATAACCCTTTAGCATTGAAACGTTCATTTCTGCTATTTTTTCCATGTGGTTATTATACTTGCAAAGATCCAAAAAAGGCCATTTTCCTGGAGGCAGAAAGAAAACTAAAAAAGCTTTAGAGGCAGCTGGGCAGGGAGCCGTGGGTCTGACTTTGCTGACAGAAAAAGTGATTTGGAGGGGAGCATAGTCCGGCGTTTTATTGAGAAAGTCCTCAGGTAGAAAACTGCTGATTAGTTTTACCCTAGCAGTGTCTCAGCTGAGTCTGACCACCTTATTTCCCAGCTCCCAGTGCCAGTTTCAGGTGCCTGGGGGAGAAGTGTGGTTCCTTGCTGGGACATGGATGACTCTGCCATGGTGTTGCTGGCTGGTTCTCCACCCCCAGCACAATGATGGATTCTTAAAATTACTACTGATTTCTCAACTACTGATTTCTCAGGAACAGCGTGTATGTTTTTGTATAAGGGCTGCATCTGCTGAATGTTAAATAGATTTTGTGTGTACCGGTGTCAGGAGACAGAAAGAATAAATAGTCCCTAAGCAGACAGAAAGGCTATATTTAGGTCTAGGCTGAGTATGCCCTCTGCCTGCCAAAAGAAAAAAAAAAAAAGCCTCTTCATTTCCTGCTGGTCCTTTATATATAATTTTTTCTTCATTGTGTTTTAAAACTTTCAAATGTGGATCCAGTCTAGTGTTGGGAAGCTGCACAGTCCTGCCTCTGTGACAGCCCCAGAAGCATACGGAGTTACTTCTGGGCTCCAGCCACAGCCCTGCCCTGCCTGGCCACCAGGTCACTGAGCCTGATCTGATCTGTGGGCTGACATCCTGACCCAGCCTCAGCCTATTTCCACCCCCAAAATCTTGCCTCTGGTTGCCCTCACCAAGCCTAAACGTAACTCCCACTCACGGGGAGTTACTCAGTGGGAGTCCCAGCCAGGCCTTCCCTACACCATCCCTATTCCCATCCCCAGGGAACTGGGGCTGCCTCCTGGCTTCCCTGCTTTCTGGCTGGGGTGGTGGGGTGGGCTGTGGCTGTGAGACCCAGCCCCAAGGGTGACCCCGCTGCTCCTGGCCTTCGCAGTGCCCTGATGCACGTGGTGTCCAGTCTTCCAGACAACACCCTGTCATGCTTTCAGCTATTATGAAAAATTAATCCACAGAAGTCTTAGGTTAAATGGACCATGAAGGGCTTCCATGATTCCTCCTTTATGATTTTTCATGGAGAGTACAAGACTCCCTTTTAAAGAGGCTTTGTGTCTTCGGATTTTGCAAAGCATGGGGAGCGTGCCTGTGTTGCAGAGGAGAACAGAAGTACTTGAGCTAGTGTTGAATGCAGTGCTTCGGATATCACAGAGCAGTCCAGCCATGGAACTCAGCATGAGCTAACTTTACCCTACTTCTCCGCACTGTAGACATACTCTGGTTTAGAGGTTTGACAAATGGTCTGTAGGTTTGAAACAGCTTCAGGAACAGACTGGCATTAATCCCAGGTTGAAATAGGAAACAAAGAGTGCCAAGAGACATTGAAAAAGGAACAAGAGTTTCTTGTAACAAGTACTCAGAGGACTTTAGCCCTTGAAGAGGAGATTCAGAGCTCCTGATGTGAGCAGACTTTCATATACTGCTTTCCAGTTTTAAAATTGTACAACTGTCTTTTGTTCCAGCCACTTCAGAAGTTGCTAAAAATCTGCCAGTTATAGGAAGCCTCTTTCCCTCCCCTTTTGTCAAGAATGACTCTTGTAAGTAACTCTGAGCCTGTGCATACTGCTCTGCTCTATCAGGAATAGAGCTCTGCAGCTTATCATGAAATGGAGAAACACAGCGTACACCTTCATGAGGAAAACAGTTGAGGAGATAGGATATCGGATATCAACTCTTATTTTCTACTAGAGGTGATTATTTTTTTTTGTTTTTTTCTTTTTTCCTCTAGAACAGCCTGTATTCTGGGTTTGAAGCTATGACAGGGGAGATTCAGGCTGGATATCAGGAAAATGTTCTTCACCAAGAGGGTGGTCAGGCACTGGAGCAGGCGCCCCAGGGAAGTACTCATGGTACCAAGTCTGGTGGAGTTCAAGAAGCCTTTGGATAATGCTCTCAGACATGTGGTCTTATTTATTTGGTGGTCCTTTGGGGACCCAGGAGTTGGACTAGATGATCCTTGTGGGTCTCTTCCAACTTGGGATATTCTATGATTCTATGGTTCCCCTTTTATATATTGCTTCCTTCCATGTGTAGACTATGAGTAAATGTGAGCAGAGAACCACAAACTCCGTAAGACCAGAGTATTTTGGAGCATGCTGCAGCATGAAAATTGGGTTGGTAAGGTCCCATCTAATGCCCAGTACAAAGTCATGCTTCGTGACCTACAGTTTCGGGAATGACAGCTCTGTTTTAATTCCTTCAGTACATGTTTATGACTCACTGGGTCATCTGTGTTTTGAATGTAGCAGATTCTGTTGCGTGGGTACATATGCATGTGGTGTATATGTAAGAGAGAAAAAGCTAAGGTTGAATATCTGACTACGAGTACTTCTCATTTCTGTAAACTAGGGGTGGCTATGGTAGCCTAACCTGAAGCTAAAAATGCAGTAAATACTGGATGGTGGGATTAGGAGCTTTCTACACAACCCATTGTAGAAATAGTGAGGAGTTTTTGCACAATCAAATGGTTGTGACTAGTATGGAGCAGAATGCTAGTCTTCTAGCCGAATTGCAAATTTGAAACTGGCTATGAATGACCAAGGGAATGATAAAACTTTCTTTAACTAGACAGGTAAAAACATGCAAATCCTTTATCTTTGTCTCCAGTAAAAATGCTCCTCTGGTTCAATTATCACTTAAATGAGTATAAATCAGGAATAGCTCATGTAAATCTTACATCTGTGCTGCACCTTCTGGTAAGTCTCATGGGCTTGACAGTGATGTGATCTAATTTAAAGTGTCATTGAGGATTTATTCAGAATGAGTTTTAAAAGTGTACTCTGCAACGTTTCTCTATTTGAAAGGAGAAAGTAGGTTAAAAGAAAGATAATTTACAAGGAAAAGTCAAGGCAAGACTAATCAGCATGAGGGCCTGGTTAGACACATAGCAATGTTTAATCCTTACTGTTACTAATCCTTCAGGCCAGGATTGCAAAAAAGAGAGTTTTTCTTTTATTTCTTGTGTATTACCAACTGCTTAGAGGACAGAGCAACCCCAGTCTCCTCATTTTGCGTCAGGTTAATAGGAACAGCGTAAAGGACAAGATGCAGCACATGTTACAGTATATGCCTATGGGCTCCATACATCATTCAACTGGTAAACTATTGCCTTATAAATCTAAGTAACCAAGAAGAATGAAACCAGAGCCTGATGGTGCCCAGTAACATGGCCAAGAGACAGTCATAACGACCAGGCATATGGGCAGCCAAGTGAATCATGCTGCCAGGAGGGATGTCTGCAGTGCAGCAGTTGGGAAATGCTTATTAAAAGTCCTAACATGGCTGCATGCCCCTGAGGAGTCATTTCTGTTGAAAGAGGCATCTTTCCAGACTGCTGGTGAGTTTCTATATGTGTTTTCATACTTGTGCATTTTGGATGTGTTTAGCTGAAGCTGACTTGTTCTTCCTATCAATATCTGATGCCTCCTATCACACCCATCATTTCAGTTTATCATCACCCTCCTGGGAAGCTTCAACAAAAACGGCTGGAAACCTCCCCTCCTACATCATTTCCTGAGCAATTCAATCAGCTTAGAAGGAAAGGCTTAAAGCCAAAAGCTACAAGTAAGCTAAGCTTTATTTTGGTAAAGGAAACACTAAATCTATCTGCTGTTTCTCTTGTTTTCCTTCTTTTCCTTTTGCTGCACTTCATTCTCATTGTATGTGCGAGGTAAGGATGAAGTCTGTCTCTGTCAGAATGTGAATGCTGTCAAAAATAGACATCTCTAGTAAGGTATTTTGGTGTAAGTGCGATACATTTTTTTATGTTATAGTTAAGGATATATTCATGTCAATTTTCTGGCAAGCTGATCAAAGGTACTGCTTTGCAATCTTTCACTTTTTTTTTTTTTTTTTTTTTTTTTTTTCCTCCATGACATAAATACATTTTTGCTCAGAAGTTTTATTCCTTATTTTAAATAAAGTCTTGGTACAATACTATCAGCAAACTAAACATAAAACAAGTTGCTATGCAAGGCTAAACAATGAATATATGATTTTTTATCCTATTTAGTCATTCTTAGAGTTTTACCACAATAATATTTGATTATTGTAGGCAAAGTAATATCAATAATATTTAAAATAAAATAGAAAGCAGAACTTCTTAGCATTGCTGCTTCTAGAAAACCATGTCTGCTTCAAAACAGCCTTAGGAACTTGACTGCATCTCAGCAATCAAGATATTGAGCACTGTGATCAGCACTGTCACATTCTGTTGCATAATATTGCTGTGGACTCTTGAGTGTTACTCTCTTGTACTCGGAATATTGGTGCTCATTCTGCTGGCAGTCAGTTCAGCCTATCGCTACTAGAAGTGCCCGTGAGACTCATTTTGTCATATATATGGCCTTTTGAAGTCTCCAGGTAAGAGAAGTGTTAAGTCTACATGATGTACATAGTTGTTGACAGTTACAAGACTTTTTCTGTAATCACAAGTGGCAAGTTCAGAATACAGTTATTGCTGCTGGTGTCTTTTTAAAACTTCCTTATGGTATTCATGTCAATGTCACTATTTGAAGAAGGTGAAGGAGCTGATGAAGTTAAATTCTGAGATCATTTTACCATCACAAAATGCTAGTATGACTGGAAATGTTCTTCAGAAAAATGAATAGAAGATCCGTGTTTCTTCTCCCTGATTCTATTTGAGTGGAGGAAATCCTGATTCATGGTGGCAGGCAAGACAGAAGGGCCAGAACCCCAGGCTTTTGATCCCAATTAGTCAGGGAAAATGCATAACAACATTTAAAAGTTAAAAATTTGAGTGTTGGCTTCTCCTTGGAAAGAAAAATAAGGCTGGAGGTTGTGTACTTGTCAGATAGTGGTTAAAGCCACTCAATCCCCAAGCAGCAGCAGTGTCTTTCTGTGTCTTTACTGATATTTACCTGTTAGGGTTTGTTAAGTGCCTCTTCTGGACTTTGAAGGACACTACAGCGGCCTACTACTAATTAACTTCTGATCTGCATAAAAAGTTGTTTCCTCTTCCACTCTTAAGGTTTCAGAACAGAGCTTTTCTAAGATAAGAGCACAGAATTTTAAAGAAATGGATGCATCTTAGTATGCATATCAATACACATACACAGAGATATATGGACTGGATATATGGATATACAGGCTACTATTGCAACTTGTTTGTCATTTGCAAATCAATAAAATTACTTTTCCAGACATGCATGAGAATTAGTGGTTTGATGTTATTTTTGATTTTTGTTTATTTAAAAATCTCCCTGACTAGTATCTTCACTAGTAAGTAGCAAACATTCTTAGCTTGTGTAAAACATCACTGAGATCACTGTAACATGCTCACTGATGCTAATTACTGTAGACCTCCTGAACGTTTTCAGTATGTATCCACTGCTTTGGAGCAGTGGTACCTGCAGTTCTGTGGCTTTCATTGGCACATGTGTAAGAAATGAGATGTGTTTTTTAACATGATTGCCTCAGTTTCATTTGGGGGAGGGGGTGGAGGGTTACAGTGTTGATCTCAGATCTCAGCAGCATATACAATGTGACTTACTAAAATACAATTTCGGACAGAAATGAGTCTGAGGTCCAGCCAACAGAGACTCTGAAAGCTTCTCTGCTGAATGTTAATACCACTGTGGGAGTACGGTAAAGAAGAAATGTTTGCATTAGGAATTATGCTGTCTTCAGTTGGCATCTCTGTCACTGCACCATGAACTAGAACTTGCTCAGTTGCTGTATAAGCTTATGACTAGATTGACATTGCATTTGTGAGTCTCCTATGAAGGGAAAACATTACAGTGTACTTAGAATTGTCCTTGGCTAAAGTAATTTTAAGTGAGAAAGAGAGTATGAGTGAGATTTACAGCAAAGGTCCTTTCTTCTTTCTAGATTGCTGAAGGACAAACATCCTCACTCTCCATGCCTGTTTGAACTTGGGTACTGAGCTGTGTGGCAGCAGGACCTGGGGTTCCTTGCAAGGTAAGGTCTTTGAAGCTCTTTAAGTTGCTGAACTTTAAGTGTATGTCCACAGACAAGAGGGTAATTATATGTCTGGAAAATAATTTCCACGTGTCAAGATTATTATACACGGCAGATGAAAGATGATATAGAGACAAGCACATGAAGGAGAGGCAGCAAAGACTCATTGGAGTAAAGCTCTTGGGATGATATGAAGCTCGCAATGGGAATGGTGTGTCACTTCAGCTGCTAACTCTTCAGGAACAGATTTCTATTCATATCTTGGCATTGATTCTGCTAGTGGGATCACTTTGTCTGGAATAACTCCTATTATATTATCTGGAGCTCCTAAGAAATGCCAGTCTACAGTGTAATTGTGCATTGTATCCAGGCAGATTGTAACACACCAGAAAGGTCGAGCAGTATATAGTGAAGTCCACAATTAGCAGTCCGTTCCTTATCACATTAGTCATCTTTGTTTTTATTATCTTCAGTACTACAGGATTAGTCAGGTCAATAGTGCTGAAGTGACATACCGCCTCCTTTCATTTGTGCTTTTAGATGACTTATCCCTAGTTTTCAGGTACAGAATGGGAGGAAGGAGATAGGGTAGCCTAATTTGGGTAGCTAGTGTTGTCCTAAAACACCATCTAGTCTAGGAATAGCAGTTTTTCTTAGGTACACCGAATAGAGGCATGACTGGTTTAGTCCTCTGAGGCATTTCTTGTATTTTGAGAACAGTGAGTAAATAAAGAGTTAACCAGCCTGAACAGCAAATTTAGGTATCAAACCTTTTGCTTTGTATTGGAGCTTAGGTTCTACTTATTCTTGTGTAATTTGTGTTTTCCTACCCTCTCATTCAGATCTGTAAGTAAGTGGTCATCAGGACAAAAATACCATTGGCAGCTCTGTGGCCATTGGAGAACATATTTGTGTTCTGCATCTATGGTCCTCAAATGTTGCAGCCGAGAAAGAGTTGAAGTCCCTTTTGTCAGCCTCGTAAAGATGAGGACTGCAGAGTTTAATCTCTCTCTCTCTTTTTTTTTTTTTTTTTAGATAGGTTTGTCCTTCTAAAGAGCCACAAGACATTAGACATTATTAAAATTATTATTGGAAATTTAGTAGTTTGCACAAGAGAAGTCACAGGATTTAAGTTTATACTAAAATAAAGTGAATATTCTACATCTTCTTTTGAAGGATAGCACTCTTAACTGTCTAATAATTAAAGCCTCATATGTTGGTGGAAGCAGGAAGAATAACTTATAATAGAAATCATAGAAAAATAGCTTGTCTTACTTCTAAACCATTAAGTATAAGCATTAAGATGTTACTATCATCTTTGAAGTCTCAGACATATGCCTTTGTAGTTTATGCATTGCTTGCACTTATGCTACAACTGTGCCTTAGTCAGATATTTAACATTACATGACCCTTTATTCCAATGTCACCAGTGTTAGACCGTTAAAGATTAACCTGGCAAGTATTTTGAAAAACACAACCTGACTTCATTAACCTCTTGAAAGGACACTTAATGTTAAAATATGCCATTACATATTTCCAAGCCTAGCATGGTGATGCACTGCATGTTTTATTGCTCTTAATGTTCTATTACCAAAGACAATTCACCCTTTCTTATAGTAAATGACATTGTTATATATTTATTTGACTCTTGGTTCTAAGGTCCAGGTACTCTTATGTTTATTAAAGAAGCTAACAAAATGCTTAGGTGGGCACTCAAAACCTTGACTGCTTTAGGTTTAGAGATATCCATTAGCCATTACTGCTGAAGATGTCAAAACACCAACAGTAATTCTATATCCTCCCTTTGGTGGGACCAAAATTGGGCAGCTCCTCTTGTTTCTTGCTAATATTCAGAAGAGGTTTCCTCTCCCATAGTATGTTTTCCTGTATAACTGCTTTCAGCCACCCAGTTTGGCCTCCTGTTTACTTCAAACATTTTATGATCTAATAACAGAAATTAATAAAATAAGCTTGATACCAATTTCTGCCTAGGGCTTTCTTTCCCTCCCTAGTGAAGCACTTTGCACCAGTGTTGAAGATGATTGCTTTTCTAGCAGCAATATTCTTCCTAGGCATCTTTTCTAGGGAGTGCTATAGAGTTCATTGCTGTGCTCTGAATTCATCTTATTTGTCTAGGGACTTTGTTTTTTTGTTTGCTTGTTTTTTCTTTAGTTTCACGCAAGACCTTAGCTCTAGGCTAAAGCCATATTAAAAATAAAGAATAATAAAAAAGGGAAATTACAGGGGTTTTATCTCTCAAAGGTAATTTTACTTTATTAATTTTTGGTGTGGGTGGAATCCCAGGCAAACTCATTATTTGGTGGATTGAGGGTAAGAAAGAACAGGTAAAGAAGAAGCACCAGATGTAGGATGGAAAGCTTCCCCAGAAAGCTTTAGACTGAACGTAGAGAAGCAACCGATGTAGACAAGAACAATATTTCTTGGTAGGCACAATTCTTAGAAATTTTCTGAGATGTCCCCTATGACAGGAGCTGGTGAGAAACTAGTCTGCCACCAGATGGCATTGAGTGGGGTCACAGCTGCATCTGAAGGATGAGATGGAGAAAGAAAAGCTCTCATAACCTTGCTGCTCATCTACGTCTCTTCCTTTTTCCTGTAACTCCTACTGCCTGGCTTAACAGCAAAAATTGAGAAGAGGCCAGCATGTGAACTTAAGATGCTTAAATATGGCCTGTAGTGCCAGTGGCACCGATTGTGATGATGGCTTGGGCTATGTTTAAACTGTTTTCAAGCTTTCGAGTTCAAGGTCATGCTCAACTCTGTCTTGCTCTGTTATGGGATGAGGCTTGGCTGTGCCAACCCATCCCAACTTTGCACTTCTCCTTCTGGAGAAGGGAGCTGTGTTGTGCTCTAACCTATGGCTGAGGGAGACTAACCCCTTGAGTCTGAGCCCTTGAGTGATTTGGTTGGTTGAGGGATACTGTGCTTATTTTACTGGACTGTGAAACAAAATAGTTTTAGTCTACTAGGAGTAGATTACAGATCTTGAAAAATGTGAAACTCTTGTGTCTCAGTCCTGGTGGAATGTTTGTCCAGCTGGCAAACATGAGTTCTGAGTTCTTTCTGCACAGAATTCCCTCACTTTCTATCTTCTTCAAACTATCCAGCTGAAGCATGACAGGGACTGTGTAAAGGACAGTCTTGCTCTGAAATCATTAGGTAAGCCAGATTCAAATCATGCTGACAGCTCTGTAACATGCCTAAGTCTTCCTTTTCCTTTGTGCTCTTCCTCAAAAAGAAATGCCCTGAATTAGAATAAGTAGCTTTTCCTTTTCCTTTTCCTTTTCCTTTTCCTTTTCCTTTTCCTTTTCCTTTTCCTTTTCCTTTTCCTTTTCCTTTTCCTTTTCCTTTTCCGTTTCCTTTTCCTTTGCCTTTTCCTTTTCCTTTTCCTTTTCCTTTCCTTTTCCTTTTCCTTTTCCTTTTCCTTTTCCTTTCCCTTTTCCTTTCCCTTTTCCTTTCCCTTTTCCTTTCCCTTTTCCTTTCCCTTCCTTAATCTGGAAAAACAATATGCAGACCTATTTTTTTTCAGTGTGGTTGTGAGCCTTAACTTAGGATTGGAACCCCAGTTTTGTTCCCTGTATATAGAAGGAAGTAACTGGCTGTCTGCAGCACACATGCATTAGAATTTTTATGTACCCAATTCTGTGATTGTTCCTTTTATTTCACAGTATTTGATGACAGGAAAGGTTTTTTTTCATGGTGCACAGACTGTAGTGTTTGCAGGTGTCCTTGTGAAATAGAATGAAACACCCAATGGAGCAGTACACTTGCGCATGTGTGGATTCTGCTGGCAATGTGTGTGTTTCTGGATGTCATTCTCCAGGTAAGAAATCAGGGTGTTATGCCCTCCCTCTTTGTTCCCCTGTTTCCTAAAGTATTGGTACAATGGCACCACAATGCAGGGTGATCGGGAGTGAGACACCCAGCTCTGCCATGGGCACTGACATACAGAGGAGTTCATCAGTCTCTGTTAGCGCCAGCTAGGTGTGGAAGCAGAGCTCGCTGCCCATTCTGAGCAGGTTGACAGCTAAATCGGTGACAAACAAAAGGCTGAGAATATCATTTCAGATCCAAACCTCACTAGAAAACACTTCTCAGCATACTGATTTTGCAAGAGGCTCACGACTAAGACATTAGAAATAAGAGCAGATGCGTCTACACCCTCTACTCTCTTTCCAAAGGATTCACGCCTTCTGGGGATCTCTCCAAAATGATGCAGATAGTCTGTACAGAGCTGGGAAGGCAGAGGAGGTGAATGGTATTGGCAGCCGGGCAGAGAACTAGCTAGCTGTTCTCTTCCAGACTTTCATGGCTACACAGAGCATAGTGTCTCCCTGTACCATTTAGTGACTCCATGACATCACCACCTGTTACCATGGAAATCCAGAAACTACAAATTTGGATCTTGGCAGCAAGGTGTAAGGATGAAATATCTTCCTCTTTAGGGGGTCAAAAAGGAAAGCTGAAACAAATTTTCAGAATGCCTTTGAATTGGGCTAAGGTAGGGAGAGGTTAATAATTCCAAAACAAACAGTTGTAGCTGTTAAAGTGCCAGTGTGGTCCCTCCTATGTCCTTCATAAAAAGCAAACGTGGGAGATCAATTGCAGAACCCCTAACTTCATGCACCTTGACCATATCCCTCAGACGTAAGACCATTGCTATTGACTTATAACTTCAGCTGCTTTTAGAGATATATCCACCGACCAATGATTTTCAGGAAGTGCTAATAATTGCTGCTTCTTGAGAAAGAGTTTGCTTGTGTTTCACAGCAAAGAAAGTATGTGGTGTTGAGTTCTGATAAAATTGTGAGCAAATACCATTACTGTTGTGACATGTGCTTTTTATAGCCTTTTATTTATTTTTTTATTTATTTGGTGAGAACTGGTGTCTTTAAACATGAATTTTATGGCTTTTAAGTGCTTGAGATTTTTGAAATTATGGTAATAACATTTTTGTCTTTTACTAACGTTAGCTGACATTTCACTTATGTTGCACAGCTAAATGAAAACACTGCTTTTTAAATGGATGTTTATTAAATTAAATTATTGAATAGTTGAGGGCCAGCTAATATGAGCTCTTACACAGGCTGGTTTGATTTCACTGACATTGCAAAAGATGTACAAGTATGGTATGTACTTGAGTTGCCTACAGATGCGTGCACCCTTGCTGCAAAGGCAGGTGGAGCAAGAGCTGACCTCAGCTCTGGAATCTTAACAGCTGCTTTGTCTCCACGTGCACCTGCAAGGCTGTGGGCTGTGTGTGGCTGTGCTTCCACCTGGAGGTCCCATGTCAGAAAGGTAGATGTTGTTAATGCTCACCAGGTGTGAGGGAGATCTGACTAAACCTGTACAGAGTATGAAAAGACCTGTGGACTCATTTTATTTGGCTGCCTCCACTAAGGATCAGAATCATCTGGAAAAAAAAAAATCTTGTTGATAATCTGGTGTCAAGTATATCCATGATGGCAGTTCTTATGTGAACATTGAGCAGCAACATGGTTAATCTGATTAATGTCCTCCATATAAAAAAGTAAACAAGACCTGCTCACCAAACAACCAGTCTGTTCTCTTATTTAGTTGACGGCTTGGTTCCTGGGATTTCTATTCCACAAGAGCAGTTTGAATATGGTCAAGCTCTTGTTATCTGGAATATGTCTCAGTGTTCCCTGTTATGCCTTGTTTCAGTGGGATAACGACCAAGGAAGCTGCTGAGCCATGGATGGATTGTAGGAATATGTCATGAGAAAGATGCCTGGAGTCATCTGTCCACACACTGTGGTGCTGGCTCACATTTCCAAAACAGAGTTGCAGACAGAATTGCTCATGACTGCCCTGAAGAACTTTGTTATCTGTGCATGTTCCTTTTTTATGCTTTATAGTGAGTCACTTTGAAAGGCTCCCTTTTTGGTCCTCTTTAGTTAGACTGCTGGTTACTTTTTCTTGCACATCCAGCTTACCGGGACTATTGTCATGTTTTTTCTCTCTGGAATAGTTGAAGCGTCATCCTTTCCCCTTTTTTCTCCTTTATCTATTTATTTATTTATTAATTTTGGGGGTATGAAAGATGCTTCGGAAGAGGAAGGATTTTACTTCTTGGAAAAATTCACATACAGCCAGGATGGGCGCCCCACAGAGACTTTCAGGCTGGAGGTATGCTCTGGAATTCCCATGGAGGAGAGAACATTTTGTTTTGGGTGGTAAATTCCTGGTTCTGGTGATCTCTGCCATGGTTTCAGAATGAGGTGCACTCCTGTGGCCCGTGTCCATCCCAGATATGCTCTCCAAATTCTGGCTAATCTGGAGCTACTCTTAGGTGTACTCACAAGGGGTTAGGGGAAAGTACTGTGACACTGTCTGATTCCCACACAAACCTTTAGGTAAATAAATGAATACGACAAGTATCATATTAAGCCATTAAGCTGACAAATATATGGTTTTCTTATTTCTTATATAGTATACGCTTCCACTTATAAATCTAAATTATTACTGGGCACCTTCATATCTGTGCTGATGCTCTTCCTTATATTTGATAAAGCAAAACTGAAAGGGCAGCTTAATAGGGCATACAGGGACAAAGACTGCTATATCCTGCCATCTTCAGCATCAACATATTGACTCCTCGACTTAGAGAAAGGGGGGTGAAAGGAATGCGGTGCAGAGTATCCTTAGAGAATAAACTAATTGTCTTTCTCATGTTTTCATCCTCCTTTTCCTCCGGAGGCAAACACACAGCTAAACCTGAGAGTCATTCAAACTACACATGTATTTATTGAATTCAACTGCATGGAACCCCATCCCTTGAAGAAAACACTTGTGAAGAGCCAGAAAATAGATCATTACATCTGGTAACAGCATTGATACAGGCTGGTAACATCAACACAGTGCAATTCTCTCCCTTCCTTCTGGATTACACTGTGATGGGATGGATGATTAAAAGTGCCTGATATCTGATAGGCAAATTCTGATTGTAATAGATGAAAGCCCCTTTAAAGACAGCCCTTTCTTGTTTCCTTTCCTGGCCATCTGGTTTTGTGTCAAGTCTTGGTTGCTGACTAAAGTGGCAAAACAGATAAGTTTTTAAAGGCCCCAATTCATAAAACTAGCAACAAAACTAAGAGAAGATGATGTATATTCTCTTCTGACTAGTGTATCATTAATGAAACTGGTATCACATTTTCCTTGTAAAATAACTAATCCTGCAGGGACCAAGAAAAGGATCTGGGCTGACTTCCAGGCTCCAGTGGGCTGACCATTAGGAATGAAGCCTTCCTGCTGCCTTCCTTAGGAAGGGAACACTGTGCGAGAGTTTTTCAAAGCAGAGTCTCATCTCTAGCCCTGTGTTGTGGAGTTGATGGCTTACAGCTGAGGATCATTAAGCCATGGTGTCATTCAGAAAGGGGATTCACTGGCTGCTAGCTGACACAGGCAAGTTTTGAGTTGCTATGCTCCTTGAAAAGGACTTTGCCAAGAAAAGAGAACTTCACAGAATCACAGAATCATCTAGGTTGGAAGAGACCTCCAAGACCACCCAGTCCAACCTCTGACCTAACACTAACCAGTCCTCCACTAAACCATATCACTAAGCTCTACATCTAAACATCTGTTAAAGACCTCCAGGGATGGTGACTCCACCACTTCCCTGGGCAGCCCATTCCAATGCCTAACAACCCTTTCGGTAAAGAGGTTCTTCCTAATATCCAAACTAAACCTCCCCTGGTGCAACTAGACCAACCCCCACCTCGCTACAGCCTCCTTTAAGGTACCTGTAGAGAGCGATAAGGTCGCCCCTGAGCCTCCTCTTCTCCAGGCTGAACAAGCCCAGCTCCCTCAGCCACTCCTCGTAGGACTTGTTCCCCAGACTGCTCACCAGCTTCATCGCCCTTCTCTGGACTCTCTTGAGCACCTCGATGTCCTTCTTGTAGCGATGGGCCCAAAACTGAGCACAGTACTCGAGGTGCGGCCTCACCAGAGCCGAGTACAGGCGGACAATCACTTCCCTGGCCCTGCTGGCCACACTGCTTCTTATGCAAGCCAGGATGCTGTTGGCCTTCTTGGCCACCTGAGCACACTGCTGGCTCATATTCAGCTGACTGTCCACCGTCACTCCCAGGAATTTATCACGTATTAGAACATATTCTGGCAGTACTTCACTAGATCCATATCGTGGAGGCCTGAAGTGCCCATAACGGGCTACTGCAAATTCATAAATCATAGCCACAGCTCCCTGTTTCTGTGGCAACCAGCACCACACCTACTTAGTATCTAGCCTTGCACACCTGTAACTCTGTCTATATCTCATTCATTAGTCATTCATGAGATTAATTTATTCTTACTTGTTTTTGCTAGATTTTTTTTTTATTTTTTTTAAAAAAGCATCTTTTTAAAAAAGTGTTTGAAGGCAAGTTGTACTGCTGGGTGCCTAATGCTTCAGTGTTTGGGCTTCAAGCAGATTGAGACATGCTGATTTTTTTTAAGAGCTACAGTCTTTCCTGGAATGTTTTTAAATCATGTAAACATTCCTACTAGTTTTATGGATTTCTAAACTGTTTTTGTAAATGTGGGTACAAATTTAATTTGGCAGTGTACTTTCTACACTTCCACTAAATAGGGCCAACTTGCTATTGATAGAGGAGTATCTCTCAAATGGCCTTATGATGTCTTGCAATGGAAGACTTTTCATTAGAAAAACAACCTACCATGTATGTGTAAGTCTTTTATCAGTTCTTACCATGCCCTAATGTCTGTGGGACTCCTGGTGGTGGAAAGGGGAAGAGAAGAGAGAGAAAAAGTATAAGGATTATTTAATAGAGAAACGTGTTTTCA